AAATGGCTGCTAAAGGAGAGCATGATGAAACTGAGTGGAAACTGTAAACTAAAGGGAAAAGAGATGAAGAAAGGCGACTGTAACAGAGGAAAACCAAAAGTTGGGCTTTTGCAGTGCTTTATATAATATGCAGTTTGTATGTGTTCAGAAAGGCACAATGTTTAAAAAGTTCTAAATGCTGAGTAATTGTAAACAAAGTTCTATTTCATAGAAGTTCTTCCTTAACGCTAAGATAGGTTGCGGGATCGGGCGGCTCGGTGTTGTTCCCGTTGCCTTCCGCATCATCTCCAGGCTTTTGCTTCTTCAGGTGCACATTGAGAATGTGACCGAGGGCGTGATGACGCAATGAAAACTCTGAAAAGCAGCCGGGGAAGGTGCACCCAAATGGTTTCGCCTTGGTGTGCGTTCGCAGATGTCGTTTGAGATCATTGCTCCGGCTGAAGTTCTTGCCACAATCCGGTTCAGTGCAGGGATGCTTTCCTGGTGGAGTTGGCCGGTGTTGTTGCTGTTCTTCGGAAGTGTTTGGAATGTGAATGTTGGCAATGTCAATGTTGTTTACCAATTCAGCGTCACCACTACCACCAGCACCTTCATCAAATGACACGTCATCGTAATCATTCTCGAGATCGAGGTGATCATCGATTTGCAGTTCCACAGTGATCGCTTTCTTCTTGTTAGAGTTACTGTTGCTGTTGCTGTTGATTCCAACGCCATCTTCTTCGGCCATTCGTTTATAAAGACCAGAAAACGGAGGAACAGGTGAAGTAGAGGGACCAGGCTTGGACTTAGTTGCAAAGATCATCTTGTTTTTCGGTGGCATTGAAATGTTCATTGGTGACTTGCTGGTCGATGGTTTTGCTGGAGTAGAAGTGGTCTTCCCAATACCAAAAGGTTTCTCCTGATCATTTTTTGGCGGCAGCAGCATTTCCTTGACCTGCTCGACCATCTCCTCAAACAGCCCATCGACGATGGTCTCCATTGACTGACGCAGTCGATCCTTCACCAGAACCTTCTTACTTAGGAAAAATGAGTCCACAAAAGAATGCAACATCGAAGAGTTGTTTAGAGCCAGGTGACTGCTTAAGGAAAACATGGTGACAACTGTTGACAAAAAGGAAAGCGGAAAAAGAAATGACTCCGACAGAGAAGAAGTTGTGCTTTTTACAGTGTTTTATATGCAGTTTTTAGAAAGTCAAAGTGGCACAGTGCTTGAAAAGTTCTAAACGCTGAGTAATCATAAACAAAGTTCTATTTCAGAGAAGCTCCTCCTTGACGCTAAGATAGGCTGCTGGATCGGGCGGCTTGTGGTCAGCCCCTTCGCCTTCCTCGTTGTCTCCAAGACTTTGCTTTTTCAAGTGGACATTGAGAATGTGACGAATAGCGCTTTCACGACGTCCAAATTCTGAAGAACAACCATCAAAAGTGCAGCCAAATGGTTTTGCATTGCTGTGCGTTCGAAGGTGACGCTTGAGACTAGTGCTACATGTGAAGTTCTTGCCACAATTCGGCTCAGTGCAGAGATGCTTTCCTGATTGGGCTGGTTCGGGAGCCTCTTCTTGGGAAGTACTTGGAGAATTCTTATTAGCGGCAACACTGCTGTTCAAAAGTTCACTCTCAGCATTAGTTTCATCAAAAGCTACGTCATCAAGTGGACCATCAATCTGCAGCTCCACAGTGACCGCTTTCTTCTTGTTAAAATGACTGATGCTGTTGCTGTTCTTGCTGATGCCCACACCATCCTCTTCAGCCATTCGTTTATAAAGACCAGAAAACGGCTGANCAGTGACCGCTTTCTTCTTGTTAAAATGACTGATGCTGTTGCTGTTCTTGCTGATGCCCACACCATCCTCTTCAGCCATTCGTTTATAAAGACCAGAAAACGGCTGAGGAGCAGCTGAAGTAGAGGGACCAGGCTTGGACTTGGTTGCAAAGATCATCTTGCTTTTTGGTGGCTGGGAAAGTGGCACTGATGAAAAGTTCATTGGTGGCTTGATGGTCGATGGTATGACTGGAGTAGCAATTGTGGTCGTCCCAAAGCTAAAGGGTTTCACTTGATCATGGTTGGCACTTTTCAGTGGCATCATCATCTCCTTGACCTGTCCAACCATCTCCTCAAAGAGTCCATCAACGATGACTTTTACCGACTCCATCAATTGCTCCTTTACCAGCGCCTTTTTTCCTTCAAAAAATGAGTCTACAAATGAGTGAAACATTGAGGGATTGTTCATTGCCAAATGGCTGCCAAGGGAAAACATAGTGACAATGTAAATGGTTAACGATAACAAGGTAAAAAGAAATGACTGTAACAAAGATAAAAGTGAGGTGTTTTTGAAACATTTTATACAGTTTCTAAAAGTTCGAAATGTTACAAC